TATGAAAGAGACCCTGGTGAACTTGAGATCAAACATAATAATAATAATAATAATAATAATAATAATAATAATAATAAACAATAATCTTTATTTATACCCAGCCACCATCTCCCCGATGGGGACTCGGGGAGGCTTACATGAGGCCAAGCCCAAACAACAAATTACAGCAAATAAAACCGAAAACACAAACCAAATGGTTGAAGCATTGTGGTTTCCAATGTGGATATCAGATACATGAAATGTTCAGCTTGTGGTCTACTCTTAGATCTTAGATCCCTTTCCTTTGGTCTGCCTTCAAGCCAAGTGTCCCCCATCCTATACCTGGGCATTTCATTTTTACTACACTTAAGACAATAAAAACAAAATGCATAGATATACAGTAGTATGGGAGAACACAAGTCAAGAGTGTGATGCAGCAGCAAAAAACGCTAATGAGATTCCAGGCTGCATCAATAGGAGGATAGTGCCTTGATCAAGGGAAATCATAGTTCTATCTCTATTCTGCTTTGGTCAAACCTGACCTGAAATAATACTCAATCCAGTTCTGGGCAAAGCAGTTCAAGAAGGATATGGACAAGATGGAAGGTGGCCAAAATGGGCAAAGGTTTGAAAGCTAGGTTTTGGCTGCTCCAGAGATGAGGACACAATGGAGCAAATTGCAGGAAAAGAGATTCCTCTGAAACACCAAGAAGAACCTGATATTAAGAGCTGTTTGGCAGTGGAATATGGACTGCCTGGGAGTCTCCTTTATTGACTAGATGGCCATCTGTCAAGAGAGCTTAGATTGTGCATTGTAGATTGGTTTGGATAGCTCTTGTGGTCTCTTCCAACTCTATTTCTGCAAAATCTTACACTACAACAATGGAGGGAATCTAGAACGAGTCCACACTTGATGCCATGGCAGTGGGACAGGAAGAGTCCTCACTTTGGGTGGCAAAGTCACTTTTGGATTCTGATCAAGAGAGGAAAAGTGGAGTAGAAGTAAATTATTATCATTTTTGTTGTTTGTGTTGGAAGCCTTGGGTGGTTAGCACACTATCCTGGCAAACAGAGAATTGGGTTTCAACCGCTGGAGAGCCCAAGCTGTGCAATGAGAGGGGTCTGCTTCTGTCCGGCCTCGGAAACAAAATGTTTTTGTTCAAGAGTCAAGAAAGAACATTGTTGGGACCGAGTCCAAAAGGAGAGGATTGGGCACGACTTCCCCTCTTCCGTGTGCATTCCAGGCTCGGAGAAACCCGTGCGTGGGCCACCGAACAAAAGATGCTCAGTGTGTTGGACGACAGGCATGTTCCCCTTCTCCCAAGGGGAGGTCATTGCGGCTTACGCTTCTTCCAAGGCGCCCACAAAAGGGAAGGAGGAATGCACGGAAGGAGAAGGGATTGTATCGCTCATCGCCTTCCCTTTGTCTCTGGGTGACTGCAAGCTGCATCATCAGATCAAGAGGCAAAAAGGACACATCGCAGCTTCCAGGCACCGGATGACAAACAGGTGCTTACATTAAAAGGAAAAAACAGTAATAACGTGAACATGGAAAGATAGGAGGAAACCACCAACTCAAACCACAAATGCACATAAAGAGCCTGCAAGCTCTCACTCTAGTTGTGTAGTTGAGTGCATCCTCACTGCAGAATTAATTCAGTTTGATACCACTTCAGCTGCCACTGCTGAATGCTATGCAATCCTAGGAGTTGTAGTTTGGTGGGGCACCAGCTATTTGCCAGAGAAAGCTAAAGCAGCTTGACATCATAGAATCATAGAATCAAAGAGTTGGAAGAGACCTCCTGGGCCATCCAGTCCAACCCCATTCTGCCAAGAAGCAGGAATGTTGCATTCAAATCGCCCCCGACAGATGGCCATCCAGCCTCTGTTTAAAAGCTTCCAAAGAAGGAGCCTCCACCACACTCCGGGGCAGAGAGTTCCACTGCTGAACGGCTCTCACAGTCAGGAAGTTCTTCCTCATGTTCAGATGGAATCTCCTCTCTTGTAGTTTGAAGCCATTGTTCCGCATCCTAGTCTCCAAGGAAGCAGAAAACAAGCTTGCTCCCTCCTCCTCCAACAGATGGTCATCTGTTGGAGATGCTTTCATTGTGTCTTCCTGCCTGGCTGAAAGAATGGGCTGGACTGGATGACCTTTGGGGTCTCCTCCAACTCTAGGAGTCTATGAGTCCATGATCATCATCAACCCAAGGCGAGAACATCTCTTTTACAAACAAACACAGAGAAAGAGATAGTCTGGGCCATTTGGGAATGCCAATGGAAAGCAGATGTGGCCAAGGAAGCCTTCCCAGAAACTGACACTTCTAGCCACGGAGGGAGTTGTTCCTACCACGGCGTCCCCTGCGCAGCGCTGGCCTCCGCTTCACCCTTGGCGAGGGGCCCAGTTGGTACCGCCTTGTTCCCAGCGCAGTTCCCATTGATGATGGCCCCAACCCTATATTCCCAAGGAATGAAATCAGATCCCCTTTCAGCCCGTGTTATTCTTCTCCCCCTGCCCCGATGTGCCCCTCCAGAGCCATTGAGAATTGGCTGCAAGGGATGAGTCCGTCCCCCAGCGACTGAGGTTTCGGTTCCCAGCAATTCCCAGGCCGCTCCAGCGACGGGAAGCAATAATCACCGGTTCATCCGAGCCCCTAAATGTGAGGAATCGTACCACGGGGATTAAAAGAAACTGCCAGACCAACAAATGGTAAACACTGTTGGAAATGTTCTTACAGTGGGAAAAGAAAGAGATGTGCACATCTCCTGGATCTTGCACAACTCTAGATACAGTGGTGGGAAATAGGGGTGAAAAAGACACTATTAGAGGCATAGAATCAGTTGGAACATTTATTTATTTATTTATTTCGTATACTTCTACCCCGCCCTTCTCAACCCCCGAGGGGGGACTCGGGGCGGCTTACAAAAAGGCACATCTTGGTGCCTGCACAAATACAATAACATATAAAACCAGCAATTAAATGGTCAACAATTAAAAACAATTAAAACAACAATATATCACACAATCAATAGCCAATCTCAGACACAGCGTTCGCCACTCAGAGTTCATATTTCGTTCCACCTTGTCCAGTTCCTATCCATCATCACAGTCCCTTATTCATCTGCCAGATTGCCCAAACGCCTGGTCCCACATCCATGTTTTTAATTTCTTTCTGAAGGAAAGGAGGGATGTTGCTGATCTGATCTCCCCGGGGAGTGAATTCCATAGGTGAGGGGCCACCACTGAGAAGGCCCTGCTCCTCGTCCCCGCCAATCTCACTTGTGATAAAGGTGGGGTCGAGAGCAGGGCCTCCCCAGAGGATCTCAGACTCCGAGATGGGACGTAATGGGAGATGCATTCGGACAGATACGCTGGGCCAGAACCGTATAGGGTTTTGTAGGTCAAAACCAGCACTTTGAATTGTGCTCGGAACTGGATCGGCAGAGGCCATCCAGTACAACCCCCTGCCATGCAAGAACACCCAATCAAAGTACTTGGGTGCATCTACACCAGGCATGGACAAACTTTGGCCCTCCAAGCGTTTTGGACTTCAACTTCCACAATTCCTAACAGCCTCAGTAGT